GTTGGTGGATCATGGAAGGATATACAGACACAAATCTTTTCATCTTCAGCTGGAGATGATGCATTTTGAAGTTTTAAAAGCTAAATGCAGAAAAACAAGCAGACAATCCAGCCAAATCTTTAAATCTGACACCTCATCCATATGCCATATGGTCCACATTTAAACTGCAGCCCATGTAGTGGAGTCTATACCTGTCATTCTAACAGACTGGGTCAGGACGCATAGGTGGGTCGCAGGAGATTCACATTCTGTTATTTAACATCGATATTTGCAGAGCACCTTTGAGCCACATGCCTGAACATGAAAGTTGGTATTGTTCTGATAATTGTAGTCGACTTTGAATCTAATTTGAAAGGCCAGGGTACAATCTGTTTGTTTGACTGATGACAGGAAATTAAAAGAATGAGACAGTAACTGCCGAAAATCTATTTATTTGGTCTCATTTCTAGATGATTTAACATGCGTGTATGTTTTCAATAATACATGCATAAAACAAAGTTGCCATTTATCGACCGTACATCTCTTTGAAATGACTAGTTTACCCGTTGAAGATAATATAAGGTGATGTGGAAATGGTCAGGCACGATACGCACCAATGTGTTCTTCTAAAGAAAGGGAATTGGTTCGTGATGTTTTGTCATTTTGAATACGTTTGTGAAACACTGGTCTATACAGTCCACATGCAAACATAATCCATATGGACTCCACTGCATGTACCACAACTTGAATGCGACCCACGAGGACTCAGATGTTTGGGAGGAAGCTGTGCTGTGTTTCAAAACTGTAAATAGGACTAGATGAAATAATGAAGCCGTATTGCCCGTTCAATTACACCTTCAATTAAACGGTCATTTAAATGTCCAATCAGAGCGTCCTCAATGTAGATTGTTGTTCAGCAATCCTAACCATGCATTGCTTTTTAAAGGGGTTATCATTTTCAGAGACATGATGGTGATATGCCTTTAATTCCTAAATTAAAACAGAGGTTAGATAATTATGGCATAGACAGAAAAATACACTGCAGTATATTCAAATGAGCAGGGCTTTAATTTGAGCACGTGCCATAGATAGGCAGGGTATAGCTGGGGAAACGCTATTTGACATGCAGCCCACATCTCCAGTAGTTAGTAGTTCTTAGGCAACAGGTAATTAGAGGAGATACCGCTGCTGCTAATCTGCAGCTGGATCTGAAGGCAGGTTCCAGTGTTTAACAGCCTGAGAGCAAAGCGGCACCTGGGACAACAAAGAACAGCAGATATCCTGCAAACAACTCACTTTAAGCGCTGTTTCAGCCCCTTCTTCTACTCTGTAGCCAGGGACATTTCCACTTCAAATCTCTTACAAAACATAACAGACATCAAATCATAACGACACGACAGATGTTCGTGTAGGCACTCTACCGGCGCAGGTGCAGTGCTACCTTTGAAGAACAACCGAAAATTCAAAGCAACAACAACAACTTTCAAAGCAGAATGACACTGAAGATAAACTAAAAGGACTGAAATAATTTGAACTGATAAATTCAACCTACGCAATCATTTTTCTTTGTTCTACAACAGGTCTCCTGCTAAAGCTATGAAACTAATTAACACTGTGTTCGATTTGGAAATAAATCATTGGAAATAGTCACAATTAGAGATTTGAGCAATAAAAATGGCGAAAACATCGCCTCAGAATCATGCAGATAAAACCTAAAAAAGCACATTACATAAGGCAGTGGCGGATCACTGTCTCAGTCACACTAAACAGGAAGCCATGGAGATCGTACCTTCGTTGTTGACGTCATACAACAGATTGTCTGAAGCGCCGGCCCACTGCACTCTGGCACAGAGGACGTTGCAGTAGTTTGGCTTCATCTCTGGTCCTGCACAACACAAAAGCAGAAAAAACATCACGGCTCTGAGTCAGCTTTAGCACTCACCATTAAGTCCGTTTTTAATATGGCACATTTCAGTTTTGGACGCTAAAGCGCAGCCTTAAGGCAGCTTCCACACTGACAACAGCTCAAGCCTCGTCACTCATTTCAATGAGACCGCTGCTTCGGCTCGGCGGGGGGTCTTGTCGCAGAGGGATCGGGCAAAACAAATCGGTTCTGGCCTTTTTTTTTTTTTGTCCCCACAGCACAATGTTGGGTCATGAAACAAAACACACTTTCCAATCAAATACGTGCAAGCACACAGAGGAAAGTGAAATACCTTGCGGCGTGGATCTCGTAGCATTGCACTAATTTGCTGCCTACCATGCATGGAGGAGAAAATTATTACTTCTGTGATTAACTTTCCAGAGCTGTACAATCAAAAGCTCAGAGGAGTACAAGGACATGAACCACTGTCTTTGCATTCTAAACCTTCATCCTGGGCTCGTTCGTCTGTATTTCATCTTCTTTACTTGCACCCTGTGGCAAAAATCGCTCACACTTACACAACCCCTTGGCTTGCATTGGGGGTTTTTTTCATCGCGCATTCGTCGGTGTGAAGTTCTCTAATGCAGCGCTGAATGCTGAGATGATCATGCTGCTGCTTTAATCCCAGAACATTTGTGAATGAGGAATAAAAACTACCGCAGCAGACTACTGGGTACAAATTGGCAAATAAGCAAAATAGGAATCATATAACCCAGAAGACACATTACAATCCAGGCTGCTCACTAATTAGAGCCACAGAGTGAATCTAAAGCTCTACAGGCCACTATAATAGGAACGGCTATTTACTACAGCATAAGAGAGGGAGGACAGAGCTGCTATAGACCCAGTAGGGTTAGGGTTTGGGGTTTTCAGCTGATTAAAAACAATGTATTTTGTATTTCCCTCCATTACAGTGGTTAGATCCCCAAAGAGTGAAGGCTGGAGTTGATGTGATTTGTATAAAAACTGCTTCTTCAGATGTGGATTACACAGGCATGCTCAGAATGTACAAACACCACAACGGGGGCATGAATAGGTGTGCTGGTTCTGCTGTGAGGACAACCAGACGTGCGTGATGTTTATTTCTTCGCTCTCAGCTGATAAAGACGCCGCCTGATAATCAGACTGAATGGCCATTTGGTTTCACTTCGTTCATTTAGCCCGACACTTTGTTCAATCAGGTGAGCTGCTTTCTTGTTTTGTTTCACCTCGAACCAATCAGCGGCGACTCTAGCGACCTCCTTTAGCCGCTGAACAAAATCGATGTGTTGGCAGAAATTCAGAGTAATTCTAATGACGATTATTGTGAAATTCACTCTGTGATTTTACATTTTCCTGCTTCCTGTGATGTTCAGGTGGTACCGAGCCATTCCACCGTCCGGGGTCATAGTAGGATGACTCTGTCCCGAGCCAAATCTCTGACCAGCCTCCACCCATGCCTATCCACACCCTCCTCGACGTCCGGCTCACACACTTGCAAAGAAACCAGTCGCAGTAATGAGAATCGATCGGGGTGTTAAAAGTATTGGCAGTCCGGCCCGGGATGCTGCGGTCGGTGGTGTCTTTATTAGTCTGGTCTCTAGCCTGCCAGCTCTAAATAGCAGGGCATTGATCAGAAGGTGAGGCCGGGCTGAATCCAGCCCTTTAATTGCTTGTGTCGCTCCTCCTTCTCACTGCAACAGCTTTCAGTCGCCTGCCAGGTAAACCGAGGCCACCGCCATGCAGCGAGGCGGAGGTTAAGGCTTACGCGAGAGGGGGGACGTCTTAAAGTCATGGGGAATTTAACATCATATTCATCTTCATCAGTCGAGAGTCAGAAAGAAGCACGCACGCACGCACGCACGCACACACACACACACACACACACACACACACACACACACACACACAC